TTTGATGACACATGGGAATTATGTGAAATTTGAATTTTAGTGTCCACAAATAAAAAGAGGGTTGAGGACAAAACCCCAGGGAACACCAGTATTTAAAGATCAGCTGAAAGAAAGAGGTCCACAAAGGAGATGGAGCAGGAAATGCTCCCAAAGTGGGAAGGGAAGCTAGGATGAGACTTGGAAGAGAATCAAGACCCTTTCATTTTCACATTGCTTATGGCTGTTTTCCTGCTAAAATTGAGTCCTCATGAGAGACATTGGCAACCCACAAAGCCTGAGATATTCACTATCTGGTCCTTTATAGGTAAAGCTTGCCTACCCTCATTTAGCACCAGGTGGCTTTGTGCCACGCTCCTCCCCTACAGTCCTGGTGGTGTCATGAACTTCTACTGACCTAGAAGCCTGAGTCTCCCCACTGCCAGAACCACTGGTGAGTTAGTCTTCAAAGGCTGAGAGATTGAGAAAAACCATCTTTTGTTCTTTGGAATGTTACAATGATCTCCAAACCCTGACACCCTGTCCCCACCACCCTGACAAATAACACACACACACACACACACACACACACACATATATACATACACACACATTGCTGTTCCAGATTCTCTAGGGGGTCATGAGATTGTTTTTTCTTTGTATTTTTGGTTATTATCGCTACTTTTATTCATTAAAATGGGATATGAATTTGGAAACTTTCAGAAATACTGATGAACCATAGTCACATAGATTAATTTCTCAGATTACTTAATTACCACATTAGATCCTTCCCATTGCCTCTTCCCCCACCCCTTCTGTCTCTCTTTCTCTATCAGACTTGAGGCATACACACTGACAGTTTCTTCCTCACTTCCCACTTACTTCTCAGCCCACCACAATCTGGAGCTGACTCCCACTACAGCACTGAAACTGCACTCATAAAAATGTCAACCATCTCATAATCACCAAATCTAAGGACACTTTTCAGCCCTACCTTGACTTCTGAGAAGCATTCTGCTGACATTGCCCTTGTTCATGGAAAAACACTCTTCATTTCTGTGACATGCTTCCTTCTTGTTCCGTTAACTTTCTGTGTGCGCCTGGTGTTGCTAGATTCTTACTCATTAGCGGATCTCACAGTGTTGGTTACTGGTTAGGCTCCAGTGTCTCAGTGCCGCACCCACCCTCCTGTACTGTGTTCTGAACCAGGAGTCAGCCAGGTGTGTGTCTCCCAGCCTCCCTGGTCAGCTGGCTTCCTGTTAGATTCAAAAGACAGGAGAAACTCAGAAGCTTCCTGCTTCAGCCTCTAACTGGGTTGTCAATTGTGGCAACTGCTGGTAGACGTAGCAACAGGAAAAATGAGTGATTCTGGACTCCAGCCTCCTGAGGAGAAATACCTCCTCAGTGATTCTAGCCTTGAATAGATTGAATCTGACTATGACAGTGTCTTCACTGGGCAGCAGCAGGTGTAGGTGTGGATTCCAGCTCAGGGACTTTGGCAGCTTCTGATTCCCAGGTATCCATCTCTCCTTTTTGAACTTCCAGCCAAGCCTCTTTCTCCTTTTTGTAACTCTTTCCCCTTTAGTACCTTTAAAGCCAATTCTCTATATTAAATTCTCTCTGTCTGAAGTACATGGACTGGATGTGTTCTCCTGTCTGGATCCTGGAAAATAAATGGCATGAGATTTGGGGTTTGACCTATGCAGATTTACATCTTTGTTTTACTTCCTCTCTTTTAGTAAGATACTGAGAGAGACTACATTCATATAACTTTTAATATGTTGTTACAATAGTTCTATTTTATTATTCCTGCTGTTAATCTTTTTTTTTTTTTTTTCGGTACCAGGGATTAAACCCCAGAGTGTTTAACCACTGAGCCACATCCCCAGTCCATTTTTATTTTTTTATTTTAAGACAGGGTCTTGCCAAGTTGCTTAGGGCCTTGCTAAGTTGCTGAGACTGACCTTCAGCTGTTAATCTTTTTATCATAGGTTTGTATGTATGGAAAAAAATATTTATTTATTTAGAGAAATCGATCAGAACTATCTGTGGTTTCAGGCATCCACTGGGGGTCTTGGAATGTTACCCCCTATGGATTAGGAGGGACTACTAATCCTTCTTTTTCTTTCTCCTTCTTCTTGGCTAATTTTATCAGTGACTTCTGCTTCAGTTTTTGTGCTCACCACTCCCACAATCAGGTTCTTCACCCACACCTGGGATCCTGCTCCATACACCTCACTGTCTCCTGGGGGGGCCCCAGCTGGCTGTTCCAGTGGCATCCCAAATTCAGCATGCACAAAATCAAGTTCAAGCTCTTTGTCTTTAAACCTGCTCTCATGGCATCTCTTCTGCTTCAATTCAGTCCATCACTGAGCACCCACCCAGTCACCGGGTGAGAAACCTGGGTATTATTCTTGTCTTCTCCATTGCTTCATCTTCCACTTGTAATCAGTAACCAAACTCTTCAGGTTCTACCTCCTAAGTATCTCAGTGTTCCATTCCCTCCACCTCCTCTAGTTATGACTTAATTCACGACCTTCTTTATCTCTCACTTAAATTATTGCCATACTACCTTCTTGTAATATGTGCATGCAACTTTTTATCTTGACTTTTTTTGTTTTGTTTTGTTTTTGGTACCAGGGATTGAATCCAGGGGGACTAGGGGTGCTTAAACACTGAGCCACAACCCTAGCCCTTCTTATATTTTATTTTGAGACAGGATCTTGCTAAGTTGCTTAGGGCCTCGCTAAGTTGCTAAGGCTGGCTTTGAACTTGCGAACCTCCTCCCTCAGCCTCCCGAGTCACTGGGAATAGCCATCACACCCAGCACACTCTAGACTCTTGACTAGCAATTTTGCCTCTTTTCTTCCCAGCCTCCAGTCCATTGTTTGAAATATCAGAACAGTTTCTCTAAGTTGCTAAAATAATTGTGTCACTCCCCAGTTTTAATATCTCTGTCATCTGTTAAGTAAGTCAGACTTTCTTTGTGGTGTGCCAAGGTCTATGTGATCCGGCTCTTGCTGAATTTCTAGTTCATTGTGATGACTCCCCAGAAACAGGTAATCTTTACAACTTCCAAATCAGCTATTACAAGGGTCTCCAAAGGAAGGCGCTCTGATGCCTCTGATCTTCACACATCTGCCTACCCCATGCTCTGGAATGTTTTTCTCTTCCCTCATGTTCTGCTGTTTAAATTGTTTTTCCTTAGAGACTCTTAGAAGCTTGACTGATTAGGTCCCTCCTTTTCTCCCATTCTCAGAAAATTACTGCTTCCTGAATACACAGCACATTCTTTTTTGACTAAATTACATTGCTATGTAATTATTCATAGAAACCCCACTAGACTGTAATGCTACGGGGGTATACATTCCAAGACCCCCAGTAGATGCCTGAAGCCACAGAGTATGTGTAAATGTATATTTTAAAACATATAATATATACTACATACAATATATTACACTATATATTACATGTTATATATTCTATATGTTTAAATATATGTTTACATACACATACACATAAGTATATATACTTAGCTCTAATTAGCTCTAATTCCTGCTGGCTGGGGGGAGAGCCTAGAGTTTCAAAGAAGAGGGATTATTTCCTGCAGCCAGGGAGTCACTTCCCCAAATCCTGTCATTGTGTGATCTGGAGGGTCTAGGTGGGGAAGACATTTTCATAGAGACCTGGTGCTGATGACATGATTGAAGAGAATCTGGAGGCTGGGATTTCAGTTTGCATGTGTGTCTGGGGTAGGCTAGGACAGTGTCATTATGACTTAGAGAGGCCATGACCATTCTTTCTCCTTCTCTTCTAAGACAATGCCTCCCCTTTACTTTACCTATATGTTTTTTGGATAATACCAACCTATGATAAAATTTTATTTATAAATTAGGTACAGTAAGAGATTAACATTGGCAATAGTAAAATTATTATATTAAAAGTTATTTTAAATACTATATTAAATGTTATGTGAAGGTAATCTCTCTTTTAAAAAAATAGTTTTTTTAGTTGGACACAGTACCTTTATTTCATGTTTATGTGGTGTTGAGGATTGAACCCCATGCTTCACGCATGCTAGGTGAGTGCTCTACCATTGAGCCACAAACCCAGTCCAAGGTAGTCTCTTTTATATCTTACTGTACCATACTCAAGCATTTTTTTTCTTTCCTTATAAAGCTGAGAACTTTCACCTTTTCACTTAAAGGGAACACTTTCTGTCTTTTGTACTTCTTGCCCTTTGGTATATCTGAATTGCTGCCATAACTACTCTGTGCTTTGGGTCCATTACAATGATAGTCAATCTGATGACTGAGATGGCTACTATGTGACTATACAGTGTGAAAACACTGGAGAAAGAGATGATTCATGTCCTAGGCAGAACTGAGCCAGAGGGCACAAGATTTCATCATGCTACTCAGAACAGTGCACAATTTACAACTTATTGTTTATTTCTGGAATTTTCTATTTAATATTTTTGGACCCAAGTTGATTGCAGGAAACTGAAACCTCAGGAAGTGCTGCTACCTTTGATATGGGGGGACTACTATAATCATCTTTGAATTTCTAGTACTGGGCCTCATCCCTAGCACTTATTACTTTTTCAATGTATTTCTACAGAATGAATTAGAACTAATGCCTGCAGGAGAATAATCTTTCTGAGAAGAAGAGGTGTTGGAAGGGAGGAAGAGGCGGGGTCTGAAGAACACTAGGAATTTGCTGAACAAAGATGCGCCACCCACCGCAGCATTCTGCCACAAGATGGCACTGCTCTGAAGAGCCAGCAGCCTGAGGCTATGAGGAGAGCTCCACCAGGAGGCAGACATTCCTCAGCTGGCGGCTCAGCCCAGTGACACACCACACTGGACCTGGTCAAAGAGCCAAGTCTTCAGAAGGTTGCTGGCCCTAGATCTCTCCCTAGTGACTCATGACGCTGAATCCTACACTTCTGTGATTGGTTTAGCCAAAATGACAAGGGCAACTATTGGAGATGAACTGGCAAAACATAATCTAAGACTACTCTCTGGGGGAGGGAGTTGGAGACCTGGGTCTGCCTGTTGGTAGCACTACCTACTGTGTGGTGTGAAGATATGGATCATGAGCAGAGCCAGGGAGCTACGCTGCTTCAGCTGCTAAGGCTTCTGTGGCTGCTGCCCCACTCCTGGGCCACCCCTGCAGGTAAGATAATGCCTCCCCTTTATTCCATCCTGAGGATGTTAGAGTTGGGGGATCCCATCCCCAAGAGCATGGGAAGAAGAGACTCATGCTTTTAAGTGGTGGGAAGATTTATGAGTTTATGGCAACAACTGTGGACTTGGGTGGTAAACAGTGTCAGGTGTTTTACGTGTTCCATTGAAGATACTCTCTTGAAGCAGAGATGATTTTATCCACTTTACAGATGAGAAAATGAGACTCGAGGAATTTAAGTAACTTGTGCAAGTTCACACAGTTGGAAAGTTAGCAGAACTGAGATTTGAGCAAAGCAAAAGTTATTTCCATTCCTCCACTCAGGATACGACTTGACTCTTGTCAACTCACCTTGTGATTCTGGAAAAATCTCTCAACTTTATTGCTCCTTAGTTTCTTCTCTGTAAAGGACCTGGCAGAATGGAAGTGTAACCTGGAAGATCCCTCTCACTATAAATGTCTGTGTATTAGGCATGGGGTAGAAGGTTTCCTGCTGGCTTGGGGGGTTTCAGCCTAGAGTTTCAAAGAAAAGGGATTATTTCCTGCAGCCAGGGAGTCACTTCCCCAAATCCTGTCATTGTGTGATCTGGAGGGTTTAGGTGAGAAAGACATTTTCATAGAGACTTGGTGCTGATGACATGACTGAAGAGAATCTGGAGGCTGGGATTTCAGTTTGCATGTGTGTCTGGGGTAGGCTAGGACAGTGTCATTATGACTTAGGGAGGCCATGACCATTCTTTCTCCTTCTCTTCTAAGACAGAGAAGCTATCCATGGCTTTCTAGAGTCCAGAGGGTGGCCTTCTGTGAATTAGACAAAGGTATCCCCTTTGGGAGGATGACCCCTGTGCTAGCTGCATGGCTTGGTGAGCACTGTGTGGGCTGCGTTTCAGTTTTCACCTGTCCTCTCTGCTGGTACTTCTGTGACATAAACACACAACCAGTAGGCCGACTCCGAATTGGTCGCTTAAGATGGTAGACCTTTCTGCACTTTACAACTTTAAACACTTTATGGGACTTTAAACTTTTTATGGGTGAGGAAGGTTTGGAGCTATTCCTTAACTTTTTTCTTTACCCCAGTTGGGTGAGGGAGACTATGTGACAGGCACAGGAGGCCTTCCACCACACCTCTGCCTCATGGCCTGAGAAGGGAGGAAACGCCAGGTGTGGTGGTGCACGCTTATAATTCCAGCTACTCGGGAGGTTGAGGCAGGAGAAGGGCAAGTTTGAGATCATCCTGGGTAACTTAGTGAGACCCTGTCTCAAAATAAAAAGTAAAAAGGTCTGGGGATGTAGCTCAGTGGAAGAGCACCTCTGGGTTCAATCCTCAGTACTCCACACCAGCTCCCCCACCCCGCCAAAACAAACAAACAAAAAAAGTAAAGGAGGATGCTCTCACCTCCCTGAAACTTGCCCTGTCCCTCTCTTTGCAGCTCTTGCTCCACTGTGGCGAGATGACCTGCAAAACCACACATTCCGACACACTGTGTTCTGCCAGGATGGGAGTCCCAGTATAGGGCTCACTGAGACCTACGACGAAGACCTGCTTTTCTCCTTTGACTTTTCCCGGAATACTCGGGTGCCCCGCCTCCCTGAATTTGCTGACTGGGCTCAGGATCAGAGAGATGCCTCTGCCATTGTATTTGACAAAGGATTCTGTGAAGCGATGATTGAGCAAATAGGCCCCGCACTTGAAGGGAAAATCCCAGTATCCAGAGGTCAGGGTTTTTGGGGGGCAGAGGTTGGAGGTCTGCACTCTTACCCTCATTAATCTATGCACTGAGCTATTCCCCTCCCACCCTTCCCATCTCTTAGGTTTTCTAGTTCTCCCCTAGGATCTTTCTTTTTCTGCAAGTTAAAGTCTGCACCCTGCCCTCTGTGGTGGGTAGATTGTACCTGGCATGTAGTAGGCATTCAAAGCCATTTATTAAACTTGATGATTTCAACAGGGACCAGTTGATGCCTACTGAATATTAGCACTTGTGATACTGGGCTCAGCAAGATGGAAGAGAGATTGAAAGGATCTGATGATGTGCTTGTATTTTAATGAGAAGACAGTGCTTGATTGATATCAATGTGAGATTTAGAAAAGAAGTTAAAAAAACAAAACAAAACAAAACAAAAAAACACTCATCAACAGTCAGGGCAGAGGCTTGCAGGGTGGCTTGGATCTGGCTCTGCTGTTAGGTCCAGTTGCTATTCTTGCCTGGAAGTCTCCCTCAGAGTCCCTGCCCCTGCCCTCCCTTTTTTCTAGCCCCAAATCCCCACCCACTGACTCCTCCTGCCCCTCCCCTCCAGGTGCCTCGCCTTGTCTAAACACCGGGGTACCATCTGATCTTGTCCTTTTCCCCCCTAACACCCCGATCTCCCACCAGGTTTCCCTGTTGCTGAGGTGTTCACAATGAAGCCCCTGGAGTTTGGCAAACCCAACACGCTGGTCTGCTTTATCAGTAATCTCTTCCCGCCCACGTTGACCGTGAACTGGCAGCATAATTCCGTCCCTGTGGAAGGAGTTGGGCCCACTTTTGTCTCAGCTATGGATGGACTCACCTTCCAGGCCTTTTCTTATTTAAACTTCACACCGGAACCCTATGACCTTTTCTCCTGCATCGTGACTCACGAAATTGACCGCCACACAGCAATTGCCTATTGGGGTAAGACCCCTTTCCGCCACAAGACTGGTCCTTGGAGGGCAAAAAGGGGTAGACCCATTGGAGGGGCCTTCTTTCTCTACTTGGGCCTCGTTTAGAACACTCTTGCTCTAGCCAACCCTGATCCTCCATGCCCGAGTTTCTCTTTCATCATCCCTGCCACCTAAGTCCTTCCTCTGGGGAGAGGACTCTCTAGCCAGGTGTCCAGGCTGACCTGTCCCTCTCCTTTTCCAGTGCCCCAGAATGCCTTGCCTTCAGATTTCCTGGAGAATGTGCTGTGTGGCATAGCCTTTGGCCTGGGCGTGCTGGGCATCATTGTGGGCACTGTCCTCATCATCTATTTCCGGAAGCCTTGCTCAGGTGGTATGTCATCTGGAGGGATGAGTGAGCCAGATAGAGTGGTGCATGCGTGGGCATGTCAGGATCATCCTGTGGCATGGGGGAGGGTGTCCAGTGATTGACAGACCCCTGGGTGTGGGGGCCTGTGTCCAGCACCACAGGGGCACATCCTCCTGGCTGGGGACCCAGTCATACAGTTATGCATCATGGGAATGGCTTTGAGTGGGGGAGGAGTGATATGGGGACTTGTAGGAAAGGTGCTTGGAGATGATTTGGGAAGGAGAGACCAGTCTGAGTAGGGTGTGCTGGGGGCAGAGGGAGGCCTTTGGGGAGGAGGGGGATCCTTCTAATGGCTTTCCTCCATCCCTCTCTCCTCAGACTGATTCTTTTTGATCGGAGTTTGATGCCAACACCTTTAGCCATTCAAGCAGGGAAATCCTCAGGTTTCTCACATCCTGCCAAAGATCTTTCCTCAGAACAGAAGTCCCTGGGACTCCCCCGGGGAGTGTGCATGTAGGTTTTTCTGCTGTTCCTGAGTTTGCATCCAGAGGAGCCCAGAGTGGCCTGTCACAATGACAACTTCTTACTTCAGGCAATAAATCTCAGATTATTTTTATCAGTGTAGCGTCTTTCTTTTTCTTTTCTTTCTTTTTTTTTTTTTTGTAGTACTGGGGATGAATGAAACCCTGGCCTCATGCATGCTGGGCAGTTGCTCTGCCACTGAGCGCCCCCCCCACCCCTTCCCCTGGAGACCTCAACTTGAGTGGGTTGTCATTTCAAATTAGGCATGCCTTGGCCTGAACACAGCTTGCCCTCATTAGGGAGGGAAACAGGGAAAAACCCCCTCCCTCCTCGGCTCCTTAGCTGAGAACTCCTTTTCCCTGGTCCCAACGGGACGACAGCTTTTACTCCTCTCAGCTTGTGCAAAATACCTGAAGGATAAGAACTGCTTTCTGATAATCTGCTCACAAAATGGTTGAGAAAGCTGCATTTTTTTTTTTTTTTTGTACTCTACTTGTGAAAATGATTGTCTAGTGCAGGCTTCCTTGAGGAATACATAACCCCCTCTAACCCGACCATAATTGGACAAATAGGAGCTCAGGAGTGAGAAGGAGAAGACCTCAAGTGTTCTTCTGACTCAATCAGATTGATTCTGTTTAGAGTGGCCTAGGGTAAAGAATTCATGTGTCCTTCCCAACCATCTGTTCTTTAGCCTAGGTGAACTGTCCAAGGAGAACCGTGACAGTGCTGTCCTGGGCAGATAGCAAGAGTGGACGGCGCGTGATCACTGGTGGGAAATTGCTTTGCCTGTGCTTTATCTCTTGCTTCCCTTATTTCTCACTCCATTCTGGAAGTTGCTTTGGAGGATGGGATGGCATTAAGGTGAAGAGTGAAATTATTTTGGTCTTGGTAAGGGAGTCTGTGTTCTTTGAATTGTATCAGAGTCTAATCGAGGGGAAAATATCCAATTCATTCCAGGAGTTAGAATGTCCCCTGAACTATTTTGTTTCTAAGAGCTGCATGTAAACTGGTTAAAAAGTATGAACTCCAGATCCATACTGCCGGGAATTCAATCAAGACTCAATTTTTAGAGGTGTGACCTTGGACAAGTCACTTAACCTCTCTGTGCCTGGGTGTCATTTTCTCTAAAAGGATGATCGTAAAAATTGTGTCCAGCTTATAGGTTGTTATGAATCTTAAACAAGTTAATATATGTAGAGTGCTGAGAATAGAGTTTGGCATATAGAAAAGGAGCACAGCGACTTAGCATTATCACTGTCTTGAATTTCACAAAGCTTAGTAGCATTGTCGACTTTTTTTTTTCTTTTCTGAAAAACACTTTGAATCTATCTTCAGTATTGTATTCTTTATTTATATGTTTTTATTCTCATTTTATCCCTCTGAATCAGACCCTTGTCTAGTTCCTCCTAATTTCTGTTCTATTTTCCAATGTATGCAGCAATTTCCTGCTAATCTAAGCTTAAAATTGTTTTTTCCGTGCTGTCTGATCTTAGACAAGTCACTGCCCCTCTCTGGGTCTCAAATTCCTCCTCTGTCAAATAATGGACTTAGATTAGATGCTTTCTCATCAAACATTTGATGACATTGTCACTTAAATACTCTAAAAGCATTTAAGACCCTCTCTGATCTTGTGCACTTCTTCTATCAAAGAAATATTACCCATATGCCCAACAGGAATCCCATCCTGGTGCTTTACATGGGCTGGGCAAGCATTCTACCACTGAGCTACACCCCCAGCCCAGGAATCCCATTCTTGGATGAACCTTCTCTCTGTTCCTCCTTTAGAGCATTTCTCCAGGCTCTTTCCTCTCACTCAATGCCTTCTTCACTCTGTTCAGCTCATTCCCCTCTTAACCAACTGGAGGCCCAGCTCACCTTCAACCTCTTCGTGAACTTATCTGAATCCTCCAGCCCTAACTGATCTTTATGAAACTCGTCCCAATCTTCGAGCTCTCAACCCAGACTTTACTCTCAAATATATATGGTCTTGTTTCCTAATGTTACTTTTTTTTTACTCAGCCAGTTTGAAGTTTCTCTAATTCAAAACTCAGAAACGATTTACTATCACAGCAAGATAGTTCTCATTTCCCTTTGTCTTCATTAACACTTGACATATTTGACTTTCAAATGTTGGCCACATGGTGGTCATAGAGTGGTATCTCATTGTTTTAATTTGCCTTTCTCTCACTCCTAGCAAGGCTGGTCTTCTTTCTATAGAGTTCTTTCTCTGTGAATCGTTGATTGATATCTTTTGTCTATTTGAAAATGACATTTTCTGTCTTTTTGTCATGCATTTGGGGATATGTGTATTCTATGTAATAACCTTGGGTGGTATGGATATTTCTAATGCCTTCTTACAGTTTGCTGCTCTTCAACTAACTTTGCATAAAATTCTTTACCTGAATAGAATTATCTAATTTTGTCAGTCAAAACCCAGTGGTCTCATGCTATTGGTTTTAGATTGCAAATGATTGACTGGTTGAATGATTTTTTTTTTTTTCTGTTTATAAAATGGAAGCTTAAGTTAAAACCATCTGTCCAGAAGAGGAACCTGAGAATGTACACTGAGTGGTTTTAGGAAGTGCCCAGAAGAGCTTCATGTTGTTATGGCCATACTTTCAGGAAAAGACAAATGACTTCTTTTAACATGCAATTACAGTGATGATATGGTAGCTCGTTTCTGTTTCAGCCCACCATGTGCCTTGTAGACCCCCTTCAGCGTCTCATGCCACTATTAGGTTTGGGGGCTATGTGCCAGGACTGCAGTGCCAACTACCTTCCTCTCCCACATGGATCCAGCCCAGTGGCTCACCTCCAGTGTCCCTGGATCTAGAGAACTCCCTGCCCGTCATGCCTACAACAACTTCTTTCCCCCCTTTTAAGTCTACCAGCTTTATTCCTTTCTTGGTTTAACATCAACTCTTCTTTCTATAGGTGTTTGTTCTCACTCCCCAGCTGACCTCAAGCAAGATGATATGAAGGCAGTGTCCCTATCTCCCACCAGGCATTCCCTGTTGCACTTCGCACATAAATACTGGGGTTCATCCACTGCAGGAATATGGTACCAGGCTAGGGGAAGAGGCATCAGGAAAGCAGAAGACTCATCCTGTGGGTCTTGCATAGTGGCCTTAAAAGAAGGATACCTGTGGGAATCTGCCTAGAGTTCCACTCCTTCCTATTGCCTCATAAATCATGATCAAAAAAGCAACAATGGACAGGACAGTTGAAATATCATTTTGAGTTGGCTGGAAGTGGGAAGACAGAACTACATCTGTAAAAATAGTGGTTGGGAGAAGAGGAAAGAAGAAACTGCTTCACTGAGCACAGGTCTCTGGGTGGTTTTTTTCTCCAGCCTTATTCTAAAAATCTCTCAGTGTTCACATGAATAGAGAAGTGAAATCTCCTCCTACCATTTCCTGCTGCTGCTTCACAAAAGGTTTCACATCTCCTTTGACTGTCAAGAGCCAGACCCGTCACAGGAGGGAACTCCCGCTCAGCCTCACTGCCACAGGTGATGGCCACATCCTGATGGCACGGGACTACATAGCACACAGTCCTTTGCCAGGGACAGGCTTTGTAGACATTGAAAAGGATGCCAAGACCTGGCTCCTGCAAGTTCAGGCTCACTATCTACTTGGAAAGGATGGGGAGGAATGTGAGGAGGAAGTTTAGGTGGGGGGGCAGGATTTGCATAATTTTGAAACTGTCATAAGAGAAAGTGGGCTGAATGTGGTGACTCATGCCTGTAATTCTAGCTACTTAAAGAGACTGAAGCAAGGGGATCACAGGTTCTAGGCCAGATTGGGCAAGTTAGTGAGACCTGTCTCAAAAAAAAGGTGGGGTGGTGGTGTCTGGGGATGTAGAACAGAGGTAGAGCGTTCCCAGCTTCAATCCCCCGTACCAAACAAACAAGAGAAAAACAACAAGAGAAAAAAATGAAAACCAGAAAGTAGATGAGAGTGGTTTTAAAAGCAGAAGGAATTCTGCGCACAGGAAAGACGAATCTTGGATAGATTGGGTGTGGATTGTGGCCCTTTTCTTCCTCCTTTTCTCAACAGAGTTCTTACTAACTTCCCTTATTTGGGCCATCCCAGTTCCAGGAGGTATTTAAGTATGTGAGCACACTTGTTATAGCTGAAGAGGGAATGAAGCTTGGCACTGGGTGTGTGTGTGTGTGTGTGTCTGTGTGTGTTAGAAGAAAATAAGTTAAATACTCTAGACCTTAGATGTGAATCCCTGGATTGTTTTCAAATCTATAAAATGAAGACAGTTGAGCCAGGTGTGGTGTTGCATGCCTGTAATCCCAGTTCCTTGGGAGGCTGAGGTAGGAGGATTGCAAGTTTGAAGCCAGACTCAGAAGCTTAGCAAGTTCTAGGCAACTTAGTAAAATCCTGGACCTTGTCTCAAAATAAAAAATAAAAAGGACTGGATGTGGCTCAGTGGTTAAGTACCCCTAGTTAAATTAAAAAAAGAAAGAAAGAAAAGAGAAGTAAATGAAGACAATTAACAAGTCTTTTAAGATTAAATGAGATAGCATTTAAAAGACCTACCTAGAATAGTATCTGTTACAAAGTTGAAATTCAACAAATTCTGGACCCACCACCTGGGTTCTGCCTACTTAAACACACCTGATGGTTCCTTACAGGGGTCAGAGTCTATAATCAAGGTGGGCACAAATCATGGGTATAGTTGGGAAATATGAGCAGAATTTCAGTTAATCTTAATTAGTTACACAAAATAAATCTTTTGTTCCTGACATTAATCTTGGAATTCATTTTTGGTACATTCCCCCCACCCCCTTTTTCTTCATAAATACCAGATTTTCTTGAGGTCAGGGACTTTGGCAGTGGGCAGGTAAGTGTGGTGTTGGGGGACTCCCTCCTGACCCTCTTTTGTTTAGTCTGCTATTAAATACAACAGCTTTCAGAAACTAAGGTGAGAACAGGTAGCCCTGAAGCCTGCTGGGGAGCAGAAGGAAGTCAATTTAGGGTTTTAAGTTTAGGGTGAAAAAAATTCATCAATTGTATAGTTCACAATAGAGTAAAGAGTGAATTTCTATTTAAAATCTGTCTTTTCAGGGCTGGGGACATAGCTCAG